TTTTTTAGATTCCACATATGAGCGATCTCATATGGTATTTTTCTTTCTCTTTCCGGCTTACTTCACTTAGAATGACATTCTCCAGGAGCATCCATGTTGCCACAAATGGCGTTATGTTGTTGGTTTTTGTGGCTGAATAGTATTCCATTGTATAAATATACCACATCTTCTTTATTCAGTCATCTGCTGGTGGACATTTAGGGTGTTTCCATGTCTTGGCTATTGTAAATAGTGCTGCTATGAACATTGGGGTGCATGTGTCATTTTGGAGTAGGGTTCCTTCTGGATATAAGCCCAGGAGTAGGATTCCTGAGTCATAGGGTAAGTCTATTCCTAGTCTTTTGAGGAATCTCCATACTGTTTTCCACAGTGGCTGCACCAAACTGCATTCCCACCAGCAGTGTAGGAGGATTCCCCTTTCTCCACAGCCTCTCCAGCATTTGTCATTTGTGGATTTTTGAATAGACTTTATTTTTTAGAGCACTTTTAGATTTGCAGAACAACTAAGCAGAAAGTACAGAGCACTCCTATGTACTCTCTCCCCCACCCACAGAGTTTCCCCTGTTACTAACACCTTGCATTAGTGTGGTACCTTTATTATGATTGATGAATGAATATTAATGTATTATTATTGACTCAAGTCCATAGCATACAGTGGGGTTCACTCTGTGTGTTGCTCAGTTCTGTGGGTTTAGACTGATGTATAATGTCAGGTATCTCTTGGTACAGTATCATACATATAGTTTCTCTTCTCCAGAAATCCTCTGTGCTCTGCATTATATTCTGACTTCTGTATGTACTACAGCATGCTCACAACCGAAAGTTTAGTTTCCATTTGTCACCATGCAGTTGACCCCCTTTACCCATTTTGTGCTCCCCTCAACCCCCTTTACCTTCTACACTTATTAATCGGAATTCTTCTATAAGCAAGAACTGTCCCTTCTCCCCCTTTCATTTCTTTATTCAAATGTTTATTTGTCTAAGTATAAATTCTTGGATATTTTCTTTATTCTATGAGTCAGAATCCAGTATTATAATTTTCTTGCTCAAATTTTACCAACTTTGTCCATCAGGAACTCCTTCAATTTGGCTCCTGTGTCCTTTCAATATGTCTCTAACAATTTGTGAGCACTTTCTTACTTTCTGATACCACAGGATGTTCCAGGCTTAGCTTATATTCTCCCTTTCCCAGCCTTGGAAGTGGCCATTTCTCCTAGTAGCCCTTGTTCCTAGCTTTGGAGAGTAATATTTAGACACCAAGTTCTAGGATCTAGATATGCTCATTGCTCCTGGAGTGTCTTTGCTTCTAGGCCCTCTCTGCTGATAGAGCTAGGAAATATACGCACATATACCAACACACGCATATACACATCTACATCTTTTTCTATCCATCTGTGCTTAGATACTTAAAGTATTTAAAACCGTGAGTTCATACTCAATACCAATTCTAGCCCAGCATCTCAGGGTTCATTCTAATCTTCCCCCTTTTCTTATTTGTTAACATATTTCTGTGACAGGGAGAAATGGCTGCCATTATCTGTAGTATATTTACTTATTTGTTCAAAGTTAGTCCTCACATAAAGTAGTTTCAGAATTATTAACCTGCATCCCTGTGAAAAACAGTTACTTATGTTGATTTCTTCATCCACAGTTATTCATTTGTATAGAGTGAAGTTCATTCCGTATTGTTGGTATATTCCATTTGGGGTTCCCCTTCCACATCCTGCTTGGTCTTAATTATATATTTATTTTAGAAGTATGTGAAACATTATGATGGTTCCAAGGGTCAGAGCTATACAGAAAGGTATATTGAGCAAAGCATTGCTCCCCTCTCATCTCTGCTGCCCCATCCCATTCCCTACTCTTTCCACCCCTTTCCACCTCCTCCAACAAATAACTGATTTCATAAGGTTCTGATTTCAAAATTAGGACCACTTCATAAATTTGCATGTCATTCATGTGCAGGGGCCATGCTAACCTTCTCCATATTGTTCTAACTTTAGTGTAAGTGCTTTTGAAATTGTACATAGGAGTGATCCTTTTAAAACAGAAACCAGATCATGTCACCCTGCTTAGAGCCCTCCACTTGCTTCCTGCCACTTTAGAATAAAATCTGAACACCTTATACCTATGTATACCTCTGCCTTATTTACTTACTTCAAGGCTCTACAAGATCTGGCTTTAGTTTCCAGAAGTTTATTTTCTCTACTTTGTGCTCTTGCTCACTCTGCTCCAGCCACACCTGCCTCGTGTCACCTACATGTCAAGTGCCCACCTGCCTTCAGGCCCTTGCATTTGTTCTTCCCTAAGCCTCGTGCTGCTCTTCCACTAAACATTCCCAGGGCTGGGTCTTCTTGGTCTCTGATAAACATTCACGTCTTTATGGAAGCCTTCCCTAGATAAATCTACCACTCTCCAGCTCTTTATATGGCTTTGTTTAGATTTATGGTACTCATCACTACCTGGCATATGTATTTATTTATTGTCTGTCTCCCCACTAGAATATAAACCCCACGAGGCAGGTTCATTATTTTGTTCACAGAACTTAGAAGAGTTCCTGGCACATAGTCAATAAATAAACAGTTGGTAAATTTTTGGTGAATAAAGTTTATCAGATGCTTTGTCTGCATTATTTGATTTAATCCTCATAAAAACCCTTGGAGGTGAGTACTGTTTTTATTCTAATCTATAGATGAGAAAATGGAAGGTTGGAGGGATCACATACTTGCCCTAGGTTACACCAGTGGGAGAGGGTTGGCTGGAGATCTGGCCCTACTTCTCTCTGACCCCAAAGCCCACACTTGTGAGTACCCATGCTGTGCTATAGGGTCTTTGTAAACAGGGGGTTTGGAGTTATACTTGCCGTCCGTGGTAATTGTAAAAATATAACATGAGTGTGTTTTGTAAGCTGTGAAGCACTGTACAAATATGAGAATTATCAAATATTATTGCTGAAATTATAGCTACCATTTATTAAGTACACACAGTACACCAGTCTAAGCTCTACACCATTCTGTCACTTAATCCTTACAGCAGATTTTGAAAGTGAGATGAAGAAATGGAAACTCAGGAATATGAAGTGACTTACCCAAGGTGACAGCGCTGCTTAAGCCTGGCATTCTCACTCCAGAACTGGTGTGCTTAGCTGTGTCACTTACAGCTGTGTCTCTGTCCCAAGCAAGGGGACATACAGACGTGCCTTTGAGAACTTGTTACTTTTTCACTGTCAGGTAACTTATTCCTGGAATTCCAAGAGGACCTGGAGCAAGTCTATAAGGTCTACTGTGCCAACTATGAACAGGCCTTGCTGCTGGTGGAGACCTACCGGAAGGAGCCGGAGCTGCAGCAGGAGATCCAGAGTGTCATTGAGGCAGTGCTGTGAGTAGAATGACCCCCATGCACCCCAAAGTCAGGGGCCTTAAAGGTCGAACCCCTGCTTGGTGCTGGTCACACTGCTTCAGGAGTGTCCCAGTCAGGCTAGGTCAGGCTATGCTGCAGAGACAAACAACTCCCACCTCTCAGTGGCTTCAGACAACAAGATCTGTACTCTTATGCTCCATTGTGGATTATCTTGGGGCTCTTCTGTACGTTATCCTCACTCTGAGACCCAAGCTAACAGCAATTACTGTCTGGAATATTGCCAGTAATTTGACAAAGGAGAAGAGGGGGTCTAACACTGGTAATTACATGCTGTAGACCAGAAATGATAGCCATTGTATCTCATAATTCATGGGCCAGAACTAATCACATGGCTTCATCCAGCCAAGGCAAGGGCTTGCTATCCTGCCGTATCTCTCAAGGTGGAAAAGCAGAAGCATTTGGTGAACAGCGCTCATAACTACCATAGGAAGTGCAGGGAGATGGTGGGAACGGTGTGCTGTAAGCAGCAGTGCCAGGAAGCAGGTTTGTATCACCTGAGGAGGCCTCTCTATAGATGGCTGGAGTCTCATTCCAAGGAAAAGGGTCAGAACTGCCCTGGGGGGCCTCTCAGTTCAGAGCTGGGACCAGTGGCGGAAGCTCCAAGTAGATACATGTAGAGAAAAAATTTTTTTTAATTAAAAGTTTGAACAGCTACATTGTTCAAAAGCTTTAAAACATACTGAATTTATACAGTTACAAAAAAATCTTCTCAACTCTGTCTTTTCTTATACCCAGTTATGCCTATGTAAGCAAATACAAATTCATACCTTATTTTCCTACCTTTTTAGTGGAAGTTTGTTTTAGTTTTTACTTACAATATATCTTGGAGGTCTTTCTATTTCAATACATACATGTATGATTCTTTAAACAGCTGCATGGTTTTCTACCATGTGGCCATTCCACAGTTCATTTAACTAGTCTCTATTAATGGACTTTGGTTTGTTTCTATTCTTTTGATAGTATAGATAGTGCTACAGTGATTATTCATGAACATATGTTATTTCACTCAGGTGCAAGTATTTCTGTAAGGTAGATTTCCAGAGGTAGAGTTGCTTACTCAATGGAAGTATGTATTGATAAGTTTTGTAATACTGCAAAATTTCCCTCGGGAGAGGCTATTCCAATTGACATTCCCATGAGCAATGTACGAGGGTGTCTGTTTCTCCATAGCCACACCAGCAGAGTGTGTTATTAAATTATAGAATATTTCTCACCAAGATAGGTGGAAAATTGCATCTTAGTATGGTTTCATTTTGCATTTATCTTATGTTGATAAGTTGATCATCTTTTTGTATATCTAAGAGTCATTTATATTTCCTTGCCTGTGAATTATTCTGCCTCTTTTCTGTTTTAGAAAAGCTTATATCGTCCTAGGACAAGCTCACCAAATGGAAATAAATGAAGGCTATTTTCTAGAAATCAGAATAATGTGGGAGGAACAAAAGTTTTTATTATTATTTTATCTTACTTAGACTTTTCCTTTATACCCAAGAGAAAGACAGTGGAGATTTAGGTCTTTGAAGTTGACATTATCTCATATATTCTTTTTTTAATATGTATTTTTATTGAAGTACAGTCAATTTACAATGTGTATCAATTTCTGGTGTACAGTATAATGCTTCAGTCATACATGGACATACATATATTCATTTTCATATTCTTTTCAACCATAAGTTACTACAAAATATTGAATATAGTTCTTTGTGCTATACAGTATGAACTTGTTGTTTTATCTATTTTATATATATTAGTATCTGCAAATCTTGAACTCCCAATTTATCCCTCCCCTCCCCTGCAACATCTCATATATTCTTATAATCTCATAGCTTCCTGCTCCTTGTCCTTCTTCTCTCCCTTATCTTATCCTTAGCCCCCTGAAGCCTCCTTTTCAAGTATCTAGCCCTTCCCTGCCTCCAAAAAAAACCTACACTCATATTCTCCTTTGATTCTTTTGATCCCATCATGGATCTTACAAATTTAAGCTTTTGCAAGGGTCACTGAATACATTTCTTCAGATGTGAGGCAGATAACAGAAATGAGGGAAGCAAGATGCCAGATATAGTACAAAAGGGAGTAGTGGAGACTGTGGCGAACCAGAGCCAGCAGACCCTGTATAGAGTGCAGTTGCAGCCCAGCCTCAGCTGAGTGTTGCTGTGTTGCATAGCTGTTGCTGTAATGAACATAGTGGTTTAACATATAAAACACCCCCAAAATATGTTTAAAGCAAACATTTCTTTAGGTCACACTTCTGCACGTTAGCAGTTTAGCTAGGCTCAGTAAATGATTCTTCTTTTCCTGTCTGAAAACCCTCACGTGTCTGTGATCAGCGAGGGGTCAGCTTTGCTGATGTTGGCTGGGCGCTCTTACGTATCTGGACGCAGGGGCTGACTCAGCTTTGTCTTTTGAGGTCTTGGCTGGGAATTGGCATGCTGTGCCAGACTCAAGTGATGGAGAAGGAGACCCCACTTCTTGATGTGAGAAGCTCCAAAGTCATATTCAAAGGATATAGATGCAGATAGTAAAATAACCATTTTTTGTAAACCATCTGTCTCAGTTGCCATGCAGAAATATGATTCCACTGTGGCCAGATCCTCTGATCTTTCAAGACAAACCAGAAACTTTGATGTAAGTCTCCCAAGTGTTAAATGTTGGTATGTAGTTCAGACATGTAGAAACACTGTACAGGGGCCCTGGTTGGCACAGAGGCTGCTATTTGTTACATCTTCTGCACTCTGGTCTTCCCAGCCAGGTGAATCCAAGCTTTTCTCATAGACTTTGGTGCCAGGCTGCCTGGCAGTGGATTAGGCTCTGCCCCTATTCACCTGGGAAGAGCCATTTTGTGTCTCAGAGCCTAGTTTCCCTACATGTAGAGTGGGAGTAATAATAGCAGCTCATGGAGACATAAACTCATTGCATGCAAGTGATACTCAGTAAAGCCCAGCCACTATACTTATCTTGGCTAGGCAAGGATTATGCTTCTCTGATATCACACTGTGATTTTCAGCTCTGTTGGTCCCATTTTTACTACAAACATTAGACACATTTATTATCCTGAGATATATTCTGGAAAGAAGATACATATCTTCTACCTGTATACGTGACTGAAGCAAACCAGTATAATAGCTTAACCAAAATGTAAAGGAGAAATAAAAGGAAAATAATTTCTAATAAAGAAATATATATTTCAGTGTACAAATGCTTGGGCACCTCTACACTGGAAGATACAATGAAACAATCAGATGCTTGCATCTACTTATAATAAATAATTTTGGATTTAAGCAAAGAAAAGTCAAAAGCCATTCTGTACAGGAAGTACAGAAAAAGTAAAGAACAGAGAATATGTGTACCTTGGAATAAGAACGAGCAGTGATATGAAACTTGACTTCCTTGTGTATGATAAGAGAAAGAAAGAACATGATTAAAGTAGGGATAATATTACATACTTGGGAGGCAGAGGAAATAAGGAAGTATGATGCTCTTGCAAATGATCTGGGTCTTATTTGCAAAAGGTGGTGTCATAGTAATTCCAAGGGTAATGATATGAGACTGGATGGAGTCCAAGTGTCACAAAAATTCTTAAATTGCAGCCCATTTCAAGGCATTCATTCAGTCCCTGAATGTTGAGAGGGACATATGAGACAAAGAACAATTCCGCACAGTGTAGGACTGTCCTTGTAGGATATCCTGCAGCCCTGGTCCCTGCCCACTAAATGCCTACAGCACCCTGGAGCCTACAAGTTTTCAGTATGTCCTCAGTGATCCTCTGATCTAATATTGTGGCAGGAATGACATTCTTTCTGTCATCTAAATTTTATTCTGTGTATTTATGGACAGACAGGACATAGACTTCCCATGGGAAAGTGTAGTTGTTGGATGGATGGATGGATGGATGGATAGATAGATGATAGATAGATAGATAGATAGATAGATAGATAGATAGATAGATAGATAGATAGAATGGATGAATGGATGGATGGATGCATTTTTAAGGGACTCCTACTATACATGCTGTTCTAGAACTTGCTTTTTCACTTAACCATGGCCATAAATATCTTTTCATGACAGTATGAATTGTTCTACCATGTTCTTTTTAATGGCTGCATAGAGTTCCTTTCCAGGGCAGCTCATAGTCTGTGGTTTACTTGACCATTCCCCTATTAATGGATATTTGGGTTATTTCCAAAATTGTACTATCGTAAATAGAGTTGCTGAGTAACTTCTACCTTTATCTTTGCTCACTTGAGTTGATATTTCTGTGGGTAGATTTTTATAGTGTGATTGATAGAATAAAGAGTTTGTACATTTCGCAAATTGTCAAACTTCTCTTCAAAAAGATCCCACCAACTGATACTCCCACCAGGAGAATGTAAGAGGGCTGGTTTCCCCATACTCACCCAGCTCTGGCTATTATCCTTCAATTTTTGTTGTCTACCTGAAAGGCTACATAAAGAGTGTTTTCCAAATTACCTTGGAAAGGCTGTAAATGCAAGAGACTGCCGTAATTAGGCAATGACTCCTTGGTATTTTTGGAGAAGAGATGTAATCATTTCCTTGAAGGCCCCACTCCCCTCTGATTTGTGAGGTGACAGGTGTCCCCGTGAGTAAGCCCAGAGGACAGAGTTCTGCAAATTCTGGTGACTGTTTCCACCTAACCTGCCCACACTAGGAAACTCTGGATGAGAGCAGATGGTCAGCGCAGGTGTGTCCTGACAGGTAATCCCACCATGCACCCCCATCCCCTGCAGCTAATGAGGGCGCTCCCACCTGCTGTTTCTAGCCTCATGGCTGATCTTCCCTGGACATTTGGTCTGGAGATTTTTCCGTAGGAAGAAAAACAAGAGGCAAGAGTACCGTGGAGAGGAGGCCAGATAATGATTGTAAACAGCATTTCTGAGTCTTCTTGGAGGAGGCATGCTTAGACATTGAATTTGAAACCCTCGTGGGTTTCTCAGAAAGTGGGTCTGAGGGCTACTGGTCATGATCAAGGAAAAACTGTTGAAATCTCTTCCCAGATGCCATTGACTTGGGCATTCTTTCTGCAAATTCCAGACATTGTCAAAAAGGGGACTAGAAATAGTTATCCTTGTATCAAATGGTACATCTGGAAGGGACCGTGACACTATTAGTTCCTTTGTTTTGTTTTACATTTTCCTTTTTTAAATGAAAATGTTCAAGCCTATAGAAAAATAGAATAATGTTATGAATACCCACATACCCACCACCTGAAGTTAATAAGTATTAGTGTTTACTGTTTGCCTCATATAATCTTATGTTAAACAATTTAAAGGAAATTACAGATATTACAGCTTTTTACCCTTAAATACCGTAAGTGCATCTTTAAACATTAAGTTCCTGAGATCTTAAAAGCTTTTCTTTTATAAAGCAACAGAACCATTTTATTAAATGAAATATCATGTGGATGTCCAACATACACAGTTGTGCTTGGAACATACATATCCAAGTGGAGATCTCACGTAGACAGTTGACTGCGTGAGTCTGGAGCTCTGGAGAGAAGCTGAAAGTAGAGATCTGGGTTTGGGATGTGTTTAAAGCCATAGGACTAAATGAGATCAGGAAGAGAGTGAGTGGAGAGAGAGGGAGACGGGGAGGCCCTGGGGCACTCTGGCATTGGAGAGAAGTGAGCAGAGGAGGCCAAGAGAGTGTCCTGTGGAGTGAGACAAAGAGCATCTCTGGGACCAAAAAAGAACGTGTTCTGAGAAAGAGGGAGCAGTCAGCTTTGAATGCTGTTGAGAGACCAAGTAAGCTGATGGAAGGGAACTGACCATTGGATTTAGTACAGATGGGGAACCAAGGCCCAGAAAGGGGTAAAGTGAGAACTAGCAGCACCATCTAACGTCTAGACCTCACACATTACAAATATGGAAACCGAGGACCACAGAAGGAGGGTGTCTTGCCTGAGATCACACAGTGAGTTAAATGGCAGAGCTGGGACTAGAGACAGAGCCCCCCTGAGTCCCGAGGGGTGAACTTTGCCTACCTAACACTAGCCTTCTCCCTCAGGCCGCAAGCTGGATCCTCAGGCCTCAGTTTTTTGCTGGTAATCCCTTTTCAGAGGATTACCAAATACCCATTGCTGCTGCAGAAAATTCTGGAGAACACACTTCCTGATGCCAGTGCCTATGCTGTCCTTCAGAGGGCTACCTCTGCCCTCCAGGACGTGATCACCAACATCAATGAGTACAAGAGGCGCAAAGAAGTGGGTAAGGACTTAGGTCACTTAGGGAATGGGTACGTGAGTAAAAATGCTTCTAGTTACAAAAAACTCATCTCCAACTGGCTTCACCAGTAAAGAAAATATAGCAGCTCATGTAACCCACAAATCTACAGGTAAGATGGGCTTTAGGTAGGGTTTGATCAGGGTGCTGGCTTCATTTCCTTGTAATTCTCTTGTCGCTGCATTTACTCTGTGTCACCTTCCTCTTCAGGTTAGCTTCCCTCATAGTAGTAAATGGCTATTGCTATTCTAAGACTCACATCTGCACACCGCACCTTCCAGGATAAAATGGGACCATTCTCCTCCTAGCTGTAATACTTAAATTGGAGCTTTACTCTGATAGGACTCATGTGGGTCATGTGCTCACCAATTGCCATGGCTAGAGGAATGCCTTGGGTTATGTGCCCTTCTTTGAACCAATCTCTGTGTCCAGGGGATGGGATTATATGAATTGGCTTATGCTGACAGCACCCACCCCTTGAACTAAAGT